CCTGATACTATAAACTGTATCAGACTTGAAAAGAACAATGCCAAACCCTATGAACTCGTTGACACCAACAGAGATAACCTAAACATATAAGCGAGAAACGACACCAGTTGAATGAGCAATTTTTAGTGGCATCGCTAAACTGTCCACTGAGTTTCTGTCAAAAGAAATATTATAAAGGGGCATCAAGTAAGAATAGGGGTTTGACAATGCTACAGTGATATTCCCGTCATTTCACAGGAATAGGTATAAAAACGTTCTTTTTTTGGTAATTATCAGTTGAGTTGGCCACTTTAGTTTTTACCTAAGCAAAGCAGTTCCGCGTTAAATTACAACAAATCGTCAACGTTTCTTCGCTTATTGCCATAAATTGCAAGAACATTTCTTGAAAAAATAGTTTAAATCACAGGGAGGTTGGAAAAGAACTGCGATAATTTTTTTATTTCTGAATGACTGCACTTAAAAAAAACCTATTCACAGATTCAATTTTGACAAAACAGAATGTAGAGTCTGTAAGGTCAAATAAATCAGTTAAAGTTTAGGCTTTCCTTCAAGGAACACTGATAGACTCAAGAGAAACCGCATTCCGTGACTTGCGAATAAAGCATGTTTAATATTCATCCTCAGACTCAGTTTTAAACTGCAGTTGTTGTGAAGGAATTACCGTTCATAGCTGCATGTTTAGGTGTATTTCTTCCTGACTCTGTTTTTGGCAAAAGTGTAAGAATTCTGTCTTGACTTGGGCGAGATTCTTCCACAGTTAAAAGTGTGCGACTAGTGTTTGATCTCGTGAAAATTTTCGTAACACTATCACGACTTTGCAGCGATTGATTTCGTTGGAGTGACCCTCTAAGACGGCGATTCAAATGTCTTGCAAAAATTCTCTCATTTGCTGAAGCACTTCTTTCTCTGATGGAAATTCGTTCAAAAACTCTTCGAACAGGTCTGATGTCTTCTTCGGTTACCCGGCAACATTTTGTGATATACGCTTTGAAAGCCAGACGAAATTCCTCAATACAGATGCTATAAACAATCGGATTTGTACAGCTGTTGGCGTAAATAAGTATTTCACCCCATCCGAGAACCTTCCGTCCGGACTCTGGGAAATCTTTGGTAAATTCTCTTAACAGCCAGAGAATGTGATTTGGAAGCATACAAACAGCGAATAATAAAACTACAATTGCCATCATCCGTACGACTTTGGCAACGTCCCGATCTTGCACCCTGTGTGCAGCAGTAAGATGATTTCGATTCCTGCGTAGTAGCAACGCTATTTTCATGTAGGCCAGGGAAATAAATGATAGAGGAACAATGTACTGAAATAAGAATATAAAAATCGTATAAGTACGGCTGTAAAGCTTCGGCCATGTCTCTTCGCAGCGAGAGTTACGAACTCTTAAAACTGAAGTGTATGGAATAACAAACGTTAACGATGCTGTCCAGATGATCGCGATAGTAACTTTGGCGCGTTTTCTTCCCGCTTGTACACGCATTGGACGAGAAATGGCCGTGTATCGGTTATAGGCGATCGCAGTGAGAGTTCCCACCGAGGCGAAAGTGCACATTGTCATTATAGGATAAATGATGTGACAAAGAAACTTTCCGAATGGCCAAACATAGCTGTTTTCTTGAACCGTAACATCGAATGGTATGCACAATATTAGTACGGCAAGATCTGCCACCGCCAAGTTCACGATATAGAAGTTTGTTGATGTGCGAAGCTTCCGCTGTCGACAAACGACCAAACAAACCAACATATTCCCTGTTATACCGGTAATAAAAATAAGACCGTAGAGTATAAGCTTCACTGCCCTGATTGATAAATTTTCTCTTAAAAATCCTGAGTCTAAACTGATGGCAGTGATATTTTCCATACTGAACTTGTAAGCTAATCAGAGGTGCTTGATATTCACTCTAGCAAAAGAATGGTGTGGATGTCTACTTAGACTGTTGAAGTAAGTGCTTTATAATGTAACAAAGCAGCTCCTCAACGTCGGAAGAAACCATAACATAATGATGAATTTTTTCCGACAGTTTAACAATCAGTGGTTCATTTCTTAATGCCACCTCCCGCTTCCATCGCTAGCGGCGTTTGTTTCAAAAGTAGAATAAATTACGTTTGGTACAATGAATAGAGATGGCAATTAATCATTAACACCATACACATGTAGTTGAACCCCTAGAGGCAGACGAATTGCTTGAGACAAAAAACAAAACCTCTAGAAACCCTAAGGACTTTCTGGGTTCTAGAACGTTTCATCTTCTAGGCCTAAAGCTGTCCGCGGATCGAGAAAAACCCTTTTGGAAAAGCCGCAATACTTAGGGTGTTGTTAGATTTATAAAGTCTGTTGGGTCACGGCAATACTCACCACTAATGAAAAGAAGGAAAAGTAAACAGAACTTATATTAAACGATAAAATCACTTCTGGTAACGTGACAAGAAGAATTACAAATATTATGAATTGATTTAACAAACCTTTATAACAGTATTGGTGTGATCGGAAATCTTGATAACCTTGCTTTGTTATACCACTTCCCCAGATGGCGATTTTTGAGATAAAAGCGAGGATACTGAATTGAAAAACCGAGTTAGCATGTCCTTAATAAAGCTTCCAAAGTCTTGAGGTCGAATCACAATTTATGCGCTCAAAAATTTTTTATTACTTTCACTATAACAGGTGGAGAAGATACTCCTTAAATTGTTGGTTAAATCGCGCGATATACAAATTTCTTTCGTGAATCGTGAGTGTTTAAGACGATCTTCTTTGGACTTATATGGGTTGAAATACAATACGTTTTTTAAATGTTACAAAATTGACCGCGGTTTATTTTCCCTCTTTTGATTTCTACGTGCTTCACTCCCCCTGGAAAAACTGATTCTAGCTGATTCTGTCGATTCTAGGGACTTCACAAATAACGTCCTTTTTGCGCTCAGTGGTGTTTTGAGAAGTCTAGTAGATGTAATAAATAGAAAATTTGTTGTGTGTTAAGGAGGAAAAAATGTAAAAATGTGGTTATTTTCTTTCAAACACGCTATAACGCTACATTAATTTCTTTTGTAGGCACCCTACGATTCACCAAATCCTTCCAAGGCCGGTGTTGTTAGGTCTCAGTAACAGAAAAGAATTAAGGGATTAGTTTCAAAACAAAATGTTCACAGCGGGGGAGTTTAACACATTCGATTCGCCCTGACGAAGGGCTAAAGCACGAAACGTCAGTTTCACAGGTTTTAGACAGCAAGATTAAAAAGTAACCATTGGCATTGTAATCCTTGTCAAATCTGATTCCTAGTCTCTTAAAAGTGTTTTAAGGCTCGTAGATTATTAGGTGGTGGTAACACGACCCATAACATGAAAGCATTTTTAAGCTTTACATATACTTTGATTGATATAGTGAGCAAAACTTAATAAAACTGCACCTTGATTAGATTTCACTTTTTCGAAGCCAGTGAGATTATTCATCGCCGATTAAGGTAAGTCTCTTAGAATCCCGTGGATACTTGAAATGGTATTTAATGACTTCCTTTTATTAGTTTTCACTGAAACATACCGCCCTGATTAGAGTTGGAGCAAACAGACAAAATAATGCAAACACATCAGTTTTATTACACAACTTTACTGCGAGTGTGTAGTTTTGTATGTTATATCCTCGATTAATTTTCGTGGTGGGCGACACGTTTTCTCACCTGTTCTGTCAGTTCAGCCTCATTAAATAAAGCTGTTTATTGAAGCTTAGCCGACAGAGCTTACTTTTTAATTTCTAGTTAGAAACTGGACAACTCTTGATATAACGCAAATTAACGCGTTATTTGACGTCGTTTGTTGTAGAGCGAGTCTACTGTAACCGAAAATGTTAATCGGTCATGAGCGGAACGTGACAAGAATATAGACAATCGCCGTAACAGGCATACTGAACAATCCAACTTACACCTCCCTGTGATGTAAACACGCAAATACACCGCACGCTAGGTTAGAAACACCCTTTGATAACATTTTGTTTCAGCCCTTAGACCTTCACAACAAAATGTTAAATTTAAAGTCAATGAACTAATCTTAAACCGACTGACTTTTTACCAAAGATGTAAAAAGGCAAGATTCTATTATCGCTTCTACGGTAAGGTGTATCACCATGACGAATAGATTTATTATTAATAATTTTTGACCGCTTCAACAACCAAGAAAAAGCTCGTTAAAGAATTTTCTCGGTGTAAGTGATAAAATTTGTAGTTCTATGCAGTTCTGTGTGCCTATATCATATTATAGAACTTGAGAAAAAGAAATTCAAACAGTATGGTCAGGATGATTCCTAAGGGCAAATAACAGAATTAATAGATCTTTCCTTCAAGGCAAACTTTCCTTGAGAATTCTTTTTCTGATAAATAACTCATGTGGAAGATCCAAAAATTAACATGTGCCCCTATCCGCTATTTCTTGGACAAAGTTCCTCATGAAATCTCCCAAATCGGACGTAGTTCCCGCTTTTCGAAATAACACAGGTACAGAGTTCTATTTCACTTTCACCAAAGGATAAGCTTTCGAAATTTTCGAAAATTTATGCCTGTCTTGCCATGAACTGAAAGGGCTCGTGCCACAACTCCCCACAGGTTACCCAAGCGTAAGATGAGGTCGGTAGCAGTTTGCATGGAAAATAAAGGACTAAGACGGGTCAACGTCATCAGTAAAGTAAAAATATGTCACTTCGTGGCGTTTTTCGTCTTTCTAGGAATTTTCATCTGCTGACCAAAAGGATGGCAACCTGTGTTTTTCGTTGATGTTACCTGTATATTGCACTTGGGTGACCTGTGCAAAAAACTTGCGTAGTTGCTTGATGTTAATTTGAAAATTGAAAAATCGACGCTGTTATTTTAACAGTCAGAACCGACGTCTCGACGATGCTGCCTTCTTCAGGGTACAAGACTAAATACCGTTAAAAAGTTCGTTAAAATTAGCTCAAGTGCTTGATTGCATACACCTGGATACTCGCGCGCATGTCACATGACCTGTGCAAACCCCCTTTGCTGCAAACATGGCCGACGGTGTTTTTGTCTTTCTGGAGAATTTGTTGCTGTCTTGTACAGTTGTTATTATTGCATGGTACATTTTAAATGCTCTAACAAAAAAGATATCACATAAACGGTAAGAAATGATAAAATTTAACCGAATAATGGTATAAACGTCTCGGAGCTGAAAGTTAATGTTCTGGTTACAAACGGCTTAAGCTTAATTTTTTTTCCTTTGTTTTTGTACATGGTAATGAACGATAATAAGTAGAAAACTGAGAAAGAAAAACTCAAGTAGAACGTAGTCTACGTGGCTGCGATGGAGTGCTTAGCGCTCTCAAACAAACGTGGCTTGATTATACCCACGTATGATATATGACACTGTTTGCCTGTTGCATTGTGTTGCCTGTTGGGGCTTAATAACCACTCAATAAGCAAGTCTTTTTCTTACGTGAAAGGCTAACTGTCCCTACACTACACTCAATTTCTTGTGTAACCGTGATGTACGCTTTTCTCTCATTATAACCTTTCCAGACATGCTTGCCTAAGTGATTATTTTTTAGGTTAACTATTAACAACTATCAAGTTATTTTTCCTCAGGCCCATGGCCCCTGGTCCACCAGGTCACTGGCTTTCTGGTAACACAGCCATATTCCAGTCCAATGTGGAAGAGCGGCATCTGCGACTCCTTGAACTGCACAAAAAGTATGGCAAGATAGTGAGGATTCAAATGGGGAGACCCCCATTGTATGGAAGAGATATCTTCTCTATTGCTGATCCAGCATTATGTGAAGAGGTTCTGAAATCCAAGAGCTATGCAATTTCAAAACTAACACAAGCTCGTTTTCAAACACTTGTTGGGAAATATAGTCTTAATGGCTTGGAAGGTGAAATATGGAAGAAACACCGACGACTTATTTTGCCATTGTTTCATTCTGGTTTTCTGAGCTATGCTTTGGAAGTCATTAGCAAAAAAACTAAAATTGTTATAGATAGGTGGAAGAAGGTCTCTGTTGATTCATCTGTGGAAGCTTTTGCATGTATAAAAAGCCTTGGACTTGATATCATCAGCAAAGCAGCATTTGGTTTTGACCTGAAAGTACAAGAACAACCTGATGACAAACTTGTCAAGGTTAGCTCTTTTTTACTTAATTTTAACTCGTAGCAACATCTATAGCATAAAGAAGGATGGTGGAGCACAGGACTAAATACAAGCATGGCTGTGGATACGTGGAAACAAATCCACAGAGTATTTGGAGTGGTGGGGGTGGGTGGAGCTTGAAATGCACTGCTAGTGGGAAGCAGGGGGGGTGGGGGGGTGGCGGGGGACTTACAGGGTGTAAAGAAAGTCGTGTCCAATAGCCCAGGGCTAGTGGATTTTGCTATCAAGCTAGTGATTCTTGTTCTTAACTTGCCAGATGGCAAGTGCTGTTTTTTGAGGAAATTCAAATTACAGAAGAATTGCTAATCAAAAAGGGTTTTGGGACTAGTTGAAATGACTTGTGGGCTAGTATAAGCTAGCTACAGCTTGCCCGAATGGCAGGCTGTAAAACTGACTTTCTTTGCACACTCCAGGTTAGTTGAAAAATACATGTTCTGACTAATTTAAACCCTAAGGTCTCTCTTTTCTGTTTATTGACAATTAATATATAAAGTAAGTTGTTAGAAAAATATTCAGAGGAATGTCCTGCAAAAATCCAATATATAAATATTATCCTCTGAGACTGAAAATGTTTCAGTGTAACTGTGTTGTATATAATTTCGTTTTCTATCATTGTAGGCTGTGAATTCATTCTTGAGGCATGCTGGGGATATAGCTTTTTTAGTATTTCCAAAACTTTGGTCCTGGAGGCATCCTTTTAAAGCATTTCATGTCCATCAGCACCAAAGAGTCCTTGATAACCTTGTCAAGCAGATCATCAAACAGCGTCAGTGTGAGGAGGATGGTGATAGTAAAAAGGACTTGTTGACTTTGCTATTGAGAGCACAAGACCCTGAGTCAAAGTATAGGCTGACAGATCAGGAAGTGCATGATGAGATCCTGGCATTTTTGTTTGCTGGGTTTGAAACTACGACATCACAGCTATGTTGGGTTTTATACCATCTAGGTGAGTACTGCTAACCTCTCAAAAGACCATTTTCAGTTGTGGGTTTTGTACACTAGCTTTCTTATGAATGTGAAGCTGAGGTTTGACCATGTTTTGATAGAAACCTCCTTGGTTTGCTTATGAAAATTATGGTCTACTTCAGCCTAGATAGCAAAAGAACAATATGATTTACATAAGAAAGCATGAGTGGTTGTATCAAAGTAAGGTCTACTTCAGCCTAGGTAACAAAAGAACAATGTGATTTACATAAGAAAGCATGAGTGGTTGTAGCAAAGTAAGGTCTACTTCAGCCTAGATAGCAAAAGAACAATATGATTTACATAAGAAAGCATGAGTGGTTGTATCAAAGTAAGGTCTACTTCAGCCTAGGTAACAAAAGAACAATATGATTTACATAAGAAAGCATGAGTGGTTGTATCAAAGTAAGGTCTACTTCAGCTTCGTTTCAATCTGTAACTGTAAAACGGGCTATTATGCTTCACGTGACTTCAGACAACAACAACAGCAACAACATTTATTTAAACACGATAAAATTACAGTGGAGTTGATGTGATCGTGTATCTAAAAGTTAAACACTGTATTCAAATGAATAAAAAAGCTTAAAAACTAATAATTAAAATTTAGAAAAAGATCTAACCTATTAGAGAAAAATATATCTATAAACAGGTTAGATCTTTTTCTAAATTTTAATTAGTTTTTAAGCACTTTATTCATTTGTAAACTGTGTTTAAATATGCAAAATTCATTTCTATCATAGAGCAGTTAATGCTTGGGCTCTTTGTAGTTTTATTTTCTATCTTGTAATTTTTGTTTTTTGTTTTGTTTTTGGGTATGTTAATGTGCACTAATGTCAAATGAAGTTGAAACAAATAAAAATATAAAATACCTGAGATAAAAAATTAACTACAATATAATCTATTAGCACCCCCCCCCCCCCTTAAGTTTCTTCACCTGATGCTTTTCTGACATTTGGCTAATACTTATTCATACCAACCTAAACTGGAAGAACACAAACTACCATTTATACTAAGATTCAAATAGGATCACTCACCCCATGTCAATCACTAATAATCACTATGTCTCCTTAATTTTGACTTTAAAAAGCCCATTGATGGTATGTATGCAATTCCCACTTTAATTCTGCATTTTGCGACCAAATCTTAGCTCTTATAAAACCACACTCCCAGTTAAATTTAAGCCTATCCTAGCTTAATTGGCCATGTTTCTTTTTTATTTCATTGCTTGTTATGTTAAGACTGGCATCTGTACTGCATTGTAAAGTCCTGCCCTTTTTTACATGCTTCATTTCCAGCCAAGCACCCTGAAGTTCAGGCTATTGCTCAAGAAGAAGTAGACAGAGTCCTTGGGGATTCTGATTTGATTACCTCAGAGATGGAGAAAGATCTCAAATATGTGACAAACTGCATAAAGGAATCTCAGAGGCTCATTCCTGTTATAACGGGTTTTAGTAGAGGAGCTGTTGAAGATACTGAGTTGGGAGGTAAGCTTCTGTGTTTTCAGAAAAAGGTTATGCTTATTTTTACCTCATCTGGGTATATTTTTTTTTATGGAAATTATTTTTAGGCGGCTACTTGAGCCTGTAAAATGATCATGTGCTTAGCAACTATGTAAGGTCTGATAATGTTACCTCCAAAGTAGAAAAAGGAAGCAAAAGAATTTTTCTCAGGCACCTGTGATCCTAGGTTTATTTTAACCTTTGGAAATGAATCAAATAGGATGATGAAAGCTGTCGACTGAAACTTTGCACTGCATGTCATCTTTTCACAACTTCTAAGACTGGGATATGATTGTGTAATATTTGATAGATTAATATATAGAGGATATTACATGGCCGCGCAGAGATACGAAATTTCTTTTGAGTGTTGAAAAATAAGTGAGTGAGCGCAGTGAACGAGTGAAATATTTTTTTCCACACAAGAAGAGAAATTTGGTATCTCCAAGCGACCATGTAGTGTTCTATTTATCATATAAACAGCAATGAAATACAAAACCATTTTAGTTAAATAGTTTTTTGGTCTGAAAGGTGCGGTTTATTAGGAAGCCTCAGCAACGGTGATATTTTCACATGTGAAGATATCAAGCTTTCGCACGAAAGCTCACTTGGTATTTCATTGGTGTTTACGTAATAAAATGTTTTTTTTTTTCTGTTGGTTATTTTTGAAAAGGATATCACATCCCCAAAGGTTCTGTTTTGTTTCTGGATACCTATGTCCTGCACCATTTGGATAATTTGTGGGATAAACCGGAAGTGTTTGATCCAACCCGCTGGGAGGACAAGACGGCTGTACACACCTTCTCATTTCTTCCTTTTGGGGGTGGAAGCAGACGATGTGCTGGCCAGCCATTTGCTGTGGTTGAAATGAAAGCTGTGACTGCGTTGATTCTCAGGAACTTTTCATTGAAACTGGATGAAAGCAAGCCCATTCACACTGAAGTGAAAATTGCGTTTGGTCCAACGCGAATTCAGTTCTTTATCAGCAAAAGATGACTCTTTTCATTGCTGTATACAAAAGTTAAGAGTTAGTCTTCTGTAAACAATTAATATTATAACATCAGCCACCACAGCAAAAGAAGTAGTACATTGAAGGTCCCCAGCTATATCCTTCATTAAGTATACCATCAACTTAAATCGAATCACTTAATAGAGACTTGTCGCGAAAAAGGACATTAGACCCTGTTTACATGGAGTGGGGGACCCCGGTCTAGTGGGGTAAGTTTCTTTTGTTTTGTGTCCCCCAGAGCGTGAAAACAAAAGAAACCAACCCCACCAGACCTGGGTCCCCCACTCCATGTAAACAGGCCCTTAGTTAAGTAATGGTCCAGATAAGAAGGAAAGGACCAAAACGCAGTGAACACGTCGGAATGCAAAAAGGTGCTAACTTTACTATTGTCTCTACAAAGGTTCTGATTGGTTTAAACATCAAATTTTACGAAATCTTCGCAAAGCAGCACGTACATCAATCCTTTTTTTTCTATGCGACTTCCTTATAACAAAATCTCGTCTGAGTCTAAGTAACACAGAAATCGTATGTGCGGATCATGTAAAATTGTGAACATTTCTTGGCCATTGTTTGCAACTCTTGTGATTGGTCGAAATGTTTTAACGCAAAAATACACCCTTTAAAAGTGGAGTTTAAATACATTTTCTTTCGTAAACAGCCTTTTTGTAGATTTATGCACTCTCTGCGTAAAAATGAAAACATTTCTATGTGAGGAAAGCGTATTGCGCCACAACAATAGAAATTGCTTTCCTTCTTACCTGGATCATTACTTAAAACCACTTTTGTTTTTACAAATTTGAGCATTGAAGGTTTAATAACCGCTGCAGCCTTGATTCTTGTTAAGTACTTTCATTTGCTGTAATTTCCCTGCGAATGTTCTGTTAATTTAAAAGATAAACGGGAAATGGAAATTTTGCTACGAATACAAGCATTTCAAAAATTTACCAAAACTTTCCCATCTCTATTGAACACACGACAGTTCGAACACCATGAAATATTTTTCACAAGTTTCAGACGTGGCGAAAAAGACAAGGGCCACCGGATGAGATTCTAGATATTCCGTTTTGCTTATTGTCTGGTTTTGATTTATTAAGCAAATCTCTCCGTTGGGCCACGTTTGTTTTACTGTCGATGGCAAAACAGTCAACAGGCTCTGGCAAAGATTACAGGCCTCAAGGTGAATACTCTTTTTAAGTGTTCAAGAATTTATTGTACTTGGTGGTTAATTTGAAGTTTTGAAGGCCTTTTTGACCGAACCTCATATATATAATTAGCCCGTTCGAGGCTCCCATTGCAAAAACGTAGACATTCTTCTCGGCTAATATATCTTTGACCAGTGATTTTTTATAGGAGTGTGGTATGTTTTCAATGTCAACATGCAGATTTCATGTATTTTGAACTATCAAACTTTATAAAATAACTAAGATGGTACGCGCGTTCTGATTGGTTAAAAACCTATGTTTTATTGTGCCGGAAAACTCGTAGAAAACTTCAAGTTATTTTGTAAAAGCAGTAGACCACAAATGGGTTTACGGGCGTGAGATGTTGGGAGAACACTCGAAAAGGTTGTAAAACACTCGCCTTCGGATCGTGATTTACAAGCTTTTCTCCTGTATCTCCCAACATCCCGCGTGGGTTATCGCGTCGGTAAACCCATAAAAAGTGGGGTGTATTGCTTAAATATGCCCTATAATTTGATTTTCTTAATTATTGAGCTTTGTTTCTCCGTTAATACAATCGCATTTTTATACTATATGTGACAATTAACAACAATGTGACAACATATTAAAAAATCAAACCAAAACTCTCCAAGGAATACAAGCAGGCTAATCTTTCTTTGTAAAATGCCACAACAACTTTACCTGCCAAAGGTCATTGTATTTTGCTAGACAACCTTTTAGTACGCACCATGAAACATTTATGACGGGCTTTAAGTGTCTGCTAAAAGGACATAAATGATGAGTTCTTAGAAACGATCTACTTGTTATGTATCGTGTTAAAGGTCTCCCGTTCATTTTGCAGTAATCGCCAAAACAGAAGTATGAATTTTAACCTATAAAGTTTTCGGCCAAAATGAACAGTTACACAGAAATTTGGAGATGATGCTAATACCCTTGTAAGATAATGCTGATTCTCCTGTAATTAACAAAAACGGGACCGTCTGCGACCAAATTCTGCGATTTTAAGGATTTTCTCTAGACCCCACCGGTAACAAGCGAGGTGTTTTCCCTTTTCACGGTAAATGTTTACAATGAAAACAGAGGTAACTTATCGATCAACAGGGGTAAATTGAAATAATTGAAGGGCGAAAAGAAGGAAGAAGTCATTCATCTCAAGGAATCACTTCACTTTTTTGTCACCTACGATATGTTTTCTCTTATTTAACTTTTCAGGTGTCTACGGTAGTTTTGCTTGTTTTCGTTCAGCACTGATTAAAAATCTCTCGAACTCAACCATTTAAAACTTTCCAACGCGTTTTTTATGTATGATATATAAGTTTCTTCGGATCCACATTATCTTTTTGCCTCAGAAAACTTTGTCTAAAGACGGCCTGCAAGAAGAATATGGCTGCGTTTTGTACTGGTTTCTTCATCGTTATGACAGCACTGCAAATCACCGTGGAAGGTATGAGAAAAAAAGCACTACTCTTTGATTAAGACCAAGCACAAAACCTTTCCTGTTCCGGATTGGTATCATTTGCACCAGAATATGGTGATATTTTCATATCAAAGTTTACCTGGCTCTAAAAATTAGGCATTAGGCAACTCCAAATTTTGGCTCGAGTACTTATTTGGTTTTCTTATCACAAAGATTCGAGTTACAGGCACTAGAGTAAATATGGTTTCCTTTAAAACTCTATTAAGTGGTGTTGTTATTTTCACTTAACCCTGACGGACTCTCTGACCAACTACAGCCGCTGTTACCGTATCCGGAGGATGTGCTAATGTACAACTGGGCCAGGCTTCATACAGTGGTAATCCAACAATTCCTGAAAAGAAATGGACTCAAACTCCTTCTGTGGTTCACATAGACAAAAGTGAGTATTTTTATGTAATGTCTTTTAACAAGAGCAAAGAAGAGTCTTTCATCAGCGTTCATCAGTCTCTCAAAACGGTGAAAAGTCGGTTGAAAACCGAAGGTCAAAAGAAACTTTGTTTCCAAAAATTCAACTATTACAGAAATCTGAAATACGTGTGAAAATGAGCCGTGACGTGAACTGTTCTTCAATAAACAGCCCTCCCCTGATCATTTTCAACAAATACCTTTAATTCCAGATAACTATCGCGTCCTTGGGCGCGTTGTTCATATGAACTACGTGAAAGAGCAGTTAGAGACTGAACACAGTTTGACGTTTGCTGTCACCCAAGAGGAAGTCAACCGATTCAATCTGGATGTTTTTGCGGACGTGGTGTACGTTGAGGTACGTTTTTAACCCTTCAAGCACAAAGCGCGACCAACATTCTGTGTATCTTTATGGTATTTCTGCCCAGTCAAACATATGGATTGTAAGAAGAAAAGAAATGATCAACAAAAGTAAAGGTATTGATTAAAAAACGAATTCTCCTCGTCAGTACCGTAGGAAATGTGTGGGAAACAGTAAGGAGAATATGTTGAACATTACAATTGTTAAGCAATTTCTCCTCATCGGTACCACAGATTTAAAGGGTTAAACCAAGGATTCGTTTGGCATTCAATCTACCGAATATTGATGCATGATTATACAGCAATTTGCCGTCAGTTGTCTATAGAGCCCATGTAAATGGCTAAGCGTAGTTTGGGATATTTATAATTCCGGCCTATTGACTGTATTGGTTTCCCTCTAAATAACAGCTATTCTCGTAGGTTTCATGGTTCTTACCAGTAAGCCAGCCGATGCTTTTGAATTCAAATACAAGCTATTGACTAGCAGTTAGATTTACTTCATTTTGTGATGCTCTTGTTTTTTCAGGGTAGAATCGCTTTTCCTGATATCGAAAGGTTAAAAATATACTCGCGTAACTTAGTTGGTTCTACAGGAAGTGGCTTAGATCTGTCTGCTCCGAAATTGAACCAAGTCTTTGCAAACCGAGTTACGACTGCAAGTAATGGAGAGAATGGGAGAAACGGCGTAAATGGTCCAATAGGTAAGTAGAGCTATCCGCCGACCATACAAATGAAGGATGCGGTTCTTCTAATTTGTAAGGCGACTGGCAAAATTTCTCAGCATTTTCAGACTTTCACCATTAACTTTTTTGTAAATGGTAAACAATATACACGCGCTCAATTTCCTCAGTTTGTGTGAGTCATCTTGTCCTTATATTGATACTCTTTGACATTAATTTCTTTTTTTTGATCAGTTGAGATATACGCTGGCAACGTTCAAGGAAGTTTCAGCGTCACCGCTAATGGAGGAGCTGGAGTGAAAGGACAAGATGGTGGACCTGGACAGGATGCAGCAGACAGCAGAGTTACAGTAAGTTTCTAAATGGATAATGACACCACCAAAATATGCAACAAATGAGTTCCAGTTACATTACGATGTGATAGCGAACCTGCACCAACATTTAATTAAAAGGTAGCATTATCAGTGAGCGTGATTCAGGAAAGACTCTCCAACGGATTTGACATTTTGAGATCTATCAGCTATATTCCTAATTATAAAAGGAAGCTTCTTCATTACAAAGAATCGTAGTTGTGCATGTTTGCAATACGAAAGCTTCCCAATCAAATGTTCCCTGGTCTATCAATGCCCTGATAAGTAGTCGCTTCGCTTTCAAAAACTTCCACAAACTCACATTGATGCATGCGTCAGTGTTCTAAGTCTCTTTCCTTTCAATTAGGAGCCTAACAGGGGGGGTTCGGAATGCTCTTCCCAAAGTGCATATGATTGTTCTTCAGTTGGCGGAAGACCCGGCAAAACAGGAGCATCCGGAGGGAGAGGGGGAAATGCAGGGATTTCAGGTGAAGAATTTCCCATTATATTCAAGTTTCATTTTCATTGCCTACTACTGCAATCGATGACGAGTGGATCTGTTTTGCACAGAAATGAGCACGATTTTGATTTGATAAATTCTAAGAAGTTATTTCTAATTTCCCACTTTCCCATCTTATTTTTCCTCGTGGGAATACTAGGATCCACTGGTGGTGAGGTAATACCTCGCAATATTCTTTTGTTTTTTTTCTTTAACATGCTTTTGTGAATCAAATTATGTTGTTAATGCTGCGTAACTAGGAGGAGGGCCCTGTGTTTTCTCAATGTTCCGTTTAAGTCTAGGCAATTTCAACTTGGCTGGTAAAATATTGTAAAATTAAACAAGAACAAGATTTTTTTATCCTCGTTAATTTTATGCTGTTCAAAGGAGTCTAAAAACTCAAGCATTTCTTCATTTTTTCTGGTTCTTAGCTTAACATTAATTGCTATATACCAACCTGATGGAAGTCTGTATTGGTAAATTAGAATCAAGAGTAGATTTTAGATTTCTTTGTAGTTTCCACGATGTAGTTGGTAAATATTTCACCTCTATTGAGTTGTGCCTTTTCTCTTCTTGCATGAGTTCTTCATTCATTTTAAGGGAATGGTGGAAATGCTGGTCAGATATTGTTTCATGCGAAAAGCTTTAATGGAAGAGTAGACGTGAGGTCTTGCAGGGGGGCTGGAGCACCACCGGCAAATAATGGACGTGGCGGAAACGGTAAGAGAAGCTGCAAGTTTGTAATTCGATGGTTTGCCTGTCGACTGTTGATGCCAGTTTTACTGTAAATCTGCAACAAAATTGAAGGGACAATCACATCTATTGAGGATGAACATTTTCTGTTCGACATGTCAAGTTGGCGTTTCATTCTTATACAACTCCATCTCATTACCAGGGAAACACAAAACAAAATTAACACGGCGAATAAGATAATTATTATATTCATAGGGTATACATTTCTACTGTCTCAAACCGATATCTTGTCGCAATAATGCCTTTAATTTCTAAACAGGTGGTCTGGGTAGCAATGGTGGATTTGGCAGGCGCTGCTATAGCACTCGGATGGAACCAGCTGCCCCCCTTCCTTATAAATGCCGAGATAGGGGAAGCGATGGTAGACGTGCTAAACGTGGAAAAAGGGGTAACAAGGGACAGCCAGGAACAAGTAAGGGAAAGCGCTATGTGTATTTAACTAAAACTTTCGGACCGTGAATAACTTTTTCTTCTGTGGGAAGCAGTCTCCTTTTGGCAAAAGGCATTCGTCTCAAAACAGCTGTCACTTTCATTTTTGAGTAAAGAGCTTTCGCTTAACTTTGATCTCAATAACGTTTTTGACACTAACACTTCAAATCTTGAGTATTTCGTGATCAATTATCACTGCTTTACATCTATCTCTTACTTTAATTCGCCGCGTTTATTGTGCTTTTCGTTACCTTTTTTTATCCTTGACATTTTGGCAAATGTTGATAGGTCTTGATAGTTCTAATTAAGAGAATGTTGTTTTCTTTTAAGCCGGGTTAAAACAAAAGGAACAAGAAAAATCAATTATTTATAAACCAGCAAACTTTCATCCACTGGTCAATAAAGAATGACTTTTTAAATATGTTTTCGTGATTTCTAGCTCCAACTAAGCCTGGCAGAGATGGCACGGTAGATACGTCATCGATACAACCAGGAGAACTAGACCAGGCTGGCAAACACAGTTACCCAATGGTACTTCTCAGAGTCATTAAGAGACAAGCTGAAGATTTGCTTTGGAAAGGAGAGGTTACCCAAGGCCGTGCGGCTCTCGAATTTCTAAAATGGGTGACAGGTGAAAACACTGATCCTGATGCGGCTGCTATAAACAAAGGTACGAGTTACTGAACGTTTATCTTTAAGGACTCACTTTTTATTACAGAGGGTTCACTCGGTTCGAAAGATAGAGGCCCTGTCATATAGTTCATTGGGTCTAGCACATTATTGTCCGTGTTATGGACGTTGGTTATTGTTTTTCTGACCCTCCTCTCCCCTCCCCCCTGGGAAAAGACAGTTATGCTTGACATTCAAAGTGGTCCCACAAGGAGGCTACGCCTGTAATATACGTTCGGAATCAAAACGTAATAGTTCGTTGCGTAAAGGACTGGTGATTGATTATTATGCCATTTTTCTTGATTTTGTAGCTGTTACACGAAAGCTTGGTTTTCTAGAAGTAGAAGGGTACGACATTTTTGGAAAGAATGAGTTGTTTGCTCCTCGAATTAAGTGGGAAGCGCTCAAGACGATAGTGGAAGGCATCAAGAACACAGCCTCTGAGTACGAACGAGCTTATAATGACATCAAGGAGTCTATTGAAAGCAAATCAAACTTTCAGAAGGTGGATGATGATGATTATATTTAAAATGATCATGAAATTTAATCACCATTTGAAAGAGTCTAAGAGTCATGAAAATAGAGATGGTAATCTATGAAATAAATAAATGTGTGGGCAACCCTTATTTCCGTAGTTATCTTAATTACTTTGGAGAGTAGCAAACGTCGATCGTGACTATATCTTAAGTAAAAGGACATGTTTGTATACTTTTGGTCAAAAGTTAAATAATATTTGGTCGACCCTAACCATAGTCCGACCGTCTCTTCTCCATTTTTTTCCCTTTCATTCAAATGGTACTTTTTGTAAAACAGATTTCTGTCAAGATGTCGACATTAGCCCAATCACAAGTTAAGGCAGAAAAAGATCGCTTAATCGAAGCCAAAAATATCGCCGAGAGTGAGAAGAGGCTCTATGTTAAGGTTTGTATTGAAGCGTCCAAATTTATCAGGTGAACACAATCTTAGCTAAACTCACTATTTTTGTCTTGCGGTGTTACTAGTGCGGTCCCGTAGTATAATTGGTTTTATTTTTCAAGTTAATAGAGGACTTCTCCTGGTATGGCCCATATTCTGCTTCTGTTGTCGATACTAAAAATCACTTCCAACACACCAAGGGCTTACACGGTCTAACGATGGTGTAGTCGAGAGGCATACGAACGTCTGCGTATGACGTATGACGTATGACGTAAGGCTAATGATAGTGGTTGCACGACTACAACCATCCGCACTGACGTAGAGTTTTTCGTGAGCTCGCGTTTGATTAAAAAGATTTATAGCTGTCAACTTATTTATCTTGTTTTGGTAAATTAGTCATGTCAGCTTTTTGACAATCGAGGGAACAGAATCTTATCAAGTGACGTTATGCAAGTAATCGATAAGTTGGTTATCATCCAATGCAACCAAGTTAATGTTTCTTCCAGGCCATCAAAGAGCTGGAGAACGAAATGACAGGTATAACCGAACAGATACGATTGATTCTACCTGAAGCACTAAGAGCTGCTAAGTTTAACGAAGATGATTTTCTGGCAGTTCTTCAAGGCATTGTGGGTTTTGCAGGAGCAATCAAAGATAAAAATCCTTTGGATTTCATCGGAAGTGCTGTTGGACTTGCACAAGATTTATCAGGCAAAAGATGCCCCTTGGGGACCCTTGAAGACAATCTTGACAAACTCGAGAAATGGCTGACATTTGGGAAAGCTTATGAAGCCTTACAAGACTCAAGCGATTTGGACTTTGACCGTGTTGACATTTCTGCTGTTCCAGAAGTGATGCAGGTAGTAGAAAATTGAATCTAGTAGTATAGTACGCACTGAATCATCCCTTTTTGTTGCGGAGGAATACACTAACGCCTGTGACTTTATAGCCTTTCGTCATGCGTTGGAATCTCATTATTTTAGGAGGCTTAACCGGTTGGACAGGTTGCTTAGCTATTATTAGGTCGATAGATATCTACGTTTTTGATTGGTTGACTAAAACTAACAAAAGGATTCACTGATTTGTTGATTCATGTTTTCGAAAGGAATAAGCACTAATTCGCCGGTGACTTCAAATAAACAACCTGTTCAACTGGTTAATAGCACATGAGCTTATCTTAAAGAGATTCCACCGCATTTTATTCATATGATTAATACAAAAGGCTATGACGTCATCATCGTCAATGTATTCTTCCGTATAGGATTATCCAGTGCGCCCTGTACTACAGAAGTTTGATTTAACATGATAAACTAAGACTTCCTTTTTTTGTAATGGTGGTATTCAGTTTAATTGATAAATTTAACCAGTTGTGCTCACATGTTCTCTCTTTTCCATATTAGGCGGATCTGGAAAAGAACAGTCAAGGTTTTGCTGCTGACATGGTCTGCCTCCTGGAAGAGGCATCGAGACCACGTGACGTGGTAATTTTTGAACAAATGATGGAGTCATTTTTCACCGTAGGAGCGTCTCGCATTGATCTTATAGGAAAGGTCATGGATTTAGATAATGAAATTGGTGGTTACAATTTTGATATTCCTCTCCTCGAGGACACAGAAGAGGCCATTACACAATTAGGACGAGCGGAAGGTAAACGCCGACATGTTTTGACGATTTTTCAAGCGCCACCGTGGAAACCAAAAGAGAACTGGAACCGAAATGCGTCCCGCAATTGTTTCTCACAAAAAATGAGGTTCATGAATGATGCATTGTACTCTTTGCGAGCATGTGTCTGTTTTCAGTTATGATAAAAGAGTTTCTTTAAACGAACTAGTACTCGTCTTAATTATGAACAGCTCTAAAATTTCAGGGTACGTCATTGTTCGCAAGCTTGAGAGTTAGGTGTGTCCTTGGCGGACGCGTAAAACAGGCATTTTAGTTTTGTTTTCTCCCTACCACCACTAGATGTGTTTGGTTGTGTGCTAGCCTTCTTAGCACCATGGCTGACGTTACACAACTTGATTTATTTACAATTTCCTTTTTCCAAGGTGGTGAAATTAGTAAAGACCTCCAAGTCGAGTTCTTAGACAATCTTCTCAGCACATATCAAGAACTTGAGACGTCTTTTATGAGAGAGGTTTATGAGCTGCACAAAGCGTTCAGGTTCCGCACGCTCTGGGAAGGCACAAACCCTCTGTCTTTATACCAACGTGTAGCTGTGGAAAGTGCTCATGGAGTAGGCCGACTTAATGGTATCTTAGAAATTACAAATGTCCTTCGAAATATCGAACAGACCGAAACGAAAGCTGTCAAGTGCTTTACTAACAACGTTTATACTACTGATATTCAGAAATGGAGTTTTGACAAAACTCGCAACAAAGGGGTAAATATTAGTTCATCTTACAATTTTTATATTTAGCGGTTTGTTGTTGGTATTTAAAATGCTATTTGCTCTTACGAAAGGATGAATATCTAGTAAGCGTGTGTGTAAGATTTATGCATCGCGGTTATAGCTATTACTGGGGATCTTTACACTGATAACTATTATATATCGCCTTTATGAATTATATCGAATTAAATACTTTATTATCTTCTCTACTAATGGAGCTTTTCAGGGATAATGAACCGAATAATTCTAATGGAACATTACAAGGTTACGATTCCCAACTGTTAGGAGGCGAATCAGTTGGCTATCATACGAGCGTGGCGAAGGATTTGAATTCGGGACTAACAAGAACAAATCCAACAAGCGGTCAGGGCGGGATTGACCTCGGGGCCTCCCGATTACAATTCCATCCCTCTAACCGCTCATCCACTTCCTCCTTTCTACAAACCTCCACGAAAGCACTCTATCAGGGTTCTCAATAGATTTTTAAGTAGGAGGTGATCCTTCAGCAAAGCCACAGGTGTCAAAACAAAACAAAGAAAAGCGACTTAAACACAAAAACCTCCCACGATCAAGCTATTGAGAACCCTGCTCTATTATTGGTGGGAAGCGAGTGCTCTCTACGGTGCCACCCTTGCTCTCCTTTATCGCCTGATTTTTTTTTATGATTTGTTTGAATAGATGTTTGCCGATCTCGAGCGAGGCTCAACTCGGTTTACCATCAAAGTTGGTCAAAGCTGCGCTTCCTGTTACAATGTTCGACTTCTAAAGGTACGTTCTCTGTAAAAGTCATAAGTTCTTAAGACGATTTATTGACGGCGGCAGAGAGAGAGGAATCAGAAGTGTAGGCTAACCTAGTGAAGACAATGAATCAGCGGTAGATCAAGCAGAAAAAATTCTCTTACTTGAGTGGAAAGAAATAAAGATCATAAATGAGTCGTTTAAGCCTCCTGAGTTAATTGTCCGATCCATCCTACTGAAATATGTTTATCATATTCTTAATTTCTCAGCTGTATGTTGAGTTGACTGGTACCGAAGAACAACCCACCAATGTGCCCGCTACAGTTCATTTAAGGATCCGTCATCTTAGTGGTTCTTACTTTCGGGCTGGAGACGACGAGATAAAGGAATTTCGACAACCCCTTGGGTCCTTCAGGAAAATAAAATTCAGAAGAACAGCTATCAGTGATGAAACAAGATGCACAGGAGAAGAAAGAAAAGGAAACAGTATGTTCAAAGAAATTTCTGGCATATATTTCTGAAAATTTTTGGGTGGAGCTGAGCGGCATGTCTCCTGAAGCCCCCCAAATCTCTGGCGACTCCATATTAGACCTGAAATGCCGCCATTTTGGTTTTAATGATGATTTAGGCTCTCTGTCACATATTAATAGGACTGTTGATTGTTGGTGGAATGTTGTTATTGGGAAAGATTTAGTGTAGTTATGTTTTAACAAAACTTAGAGGGAGATCCTTACTTTCAAGATGTCCGTGGAGCATTATCATACTAGCTAATACTCTTTGCATAACCTAGACAATTTCACGTCATCTTCTTCTTTCCCTCTTTTTATGAAGTTACCAGTGCTTTCTATCATTAGAGAACTCCATATTTTGCGTCACCAACAACGATTACCGCTGGCATCCGATGTGCAGCCACCCATTGAGTCAAGGTTCTTGTGTGGACCAGCTACTGGGGGAGGAAGAGTGTAGAAGTCCTTTCGGGACTTATGAGCTGATCATACCAAAGGACAATACTCTATCTTGCGATCAACCGGGCATAAGGAACAAAAACTGCAAGGATTTAGATGTAAGTGGTCGTATATAACATCCTCAACAAAGCATTTTGTGTACGTCAGGTCTATTACTACCACTACCAGTGGCGGATCCATACCTTCAGATAAAGGGGGGGGGGGGGGGGGGGGGCGGCCCCCCCAATTTTTTTTTCGGCCCTTCGGACCTCATTTTGGTCTAAAAGTGGATCCGCCACTTACTACTAGGTCGGCCACAGCCCAGCCTTGACAAGATTAGGGCCTCTAACTCCCGACTAGAGTCTACATCAGCGTCTCGCTTTAAGATATCGTCTAATGTTGATTTTGTTCTTCCTCTACGTCTATGGCCGTGCATTGGCTCCCAAAGGACGAGTTTGTTTGCTGGGAGGTAGGGATTTCTTTGACAGTGACCAGAGAGTCTCATCCTTCTTGCTGCTACTTTATCTCCAACTCTCGGTCTATCAGTTTGTAAGAAATAAGACGATTTCGAAGTTTTCATTTATTTAGTAGATGGAAGAGTTTTTAATGAAGAGTCATTCTTAATTAACCTCGGGGAAACCTAGTTCGCGGTGCTTTAATGCTGGGCTGCGCTTAGCACCCAGCTACTATTATAAGGCCAAAGAAAAGTTCAAGCTGAATTGTGGAAAGGGATAAGCCGTAAGGCCGACATCATTGATTTACCCGAAGCTCATTATGTAAATTTTGGTCGTCTGATAAATCTGTAAGATCATACAGTTGTTAGGACAAGAAAGTAGCGCAATCGGAGACGGTTTAGCATGGTTCACCGAATTCCTTTTTAATACCATGGTTCTTATTTTCAGCTAACGAGGTTCACCAAAATGCATGTGTGGGCGCAATTCTTGTACTGGTCAGAGGATTACCCCAATGGACCAAATGATCGTATATGTAGGACACCCTGGAAAACGGAACTGGAAAACGAACCTGAGAAATAATTGGCTCCAAATACGCCTCCGGGCACAAACGTATTTGCAAACCTTGAGTAGAAGCCGAAAACGGTACACCTGTCCTATAACACAGGTTATATATTTACTGATGTCTGTAACAAACTCAATACAACAATAAATGACAATGTAAAGCAGATGAACATTTTGTGTATCTTGATCTGATAGATATAAAGGTCCCGTGAACTCATACTCAGGCACATTTTCATCTAGTTAATTGTGTTTTACCTATTCGACCTCTTTTTTGGTTGACTTAAGACAAACATGACTGAGCATTGACACATGGGAGTCAATTTTCAGTATCTTGTGCCAGTACGATGTTGTGTTGTATCAGTTCAATATCATGTGCCTGTAAGATCTGAAATTTTTTACATCTTGTGCCAGTTAAATGTTGTGTTTTAAGGCACCTTGTTCAAGTAAGTATGTCTTGCCAATAAGACGTGTCTAGTCGTAGTATACCAATTTTCAACTTCTTGTGCCAGCACAGAGGGATCTACATACATACAACTCTGTTCAATGATCAAGTAAGTCGGATTCCTTTTTCATTTCATCTATTTGTTCTTTGAAATGTTCTTTGTTAAGATTTGCTTTTTTTACCACAATTTTCTTTAAAAAGTAAAGCAGTAGCCACATATGACTACCTTTTATTTTTGTTTTGGTTTAAAGTTAAGGACGTTAGTTTATATCTATCACTTATTCTGCCGACTGGATATGACCACAGGTGATATTTTTGATAATTTCACTCGTACATTAATTTTTATAAGTTTTTTTATGGCTTAAATTTTAGTTAAATATAGTTTATAATGCTTACTGATCTCATCTCTAGATGGGGAGTAAATCTTTAGCTCTCTTGTCTACTAAAATATAAATTTAATGATTTTCTTATGATATGTGGCTCTTAAACTTAAGTGTAATTCCTTCAGTTTTTTCCCAGGTTTACAAGAGGTTCATATTGTCACTTTTCTTTAGTACGTGCTTCCGTTGTTAATTCAATAGACTCTGCTTACTTGAAATTCTATGGTAACAGAAGGTGTACTAAATACACTATTAAGTTTAACCGTCTTCTCACTTAAACGTAGTAAATAATTAATTATGTTTGGAAAAATGAAGTTGATGATTGGCCGAGGAATATAATTTAGAATAACTGTTTTCTCCAGAGAAGCTTTCCAAAATTAATTCCCTGTGGTGACCGCGGTCTCAAAGTCGATCAAAGTCTTCATCAAATGAAACAAATCGTGATGAAATGCTGATCAGTAAGGTTCAAATCGGTACATTTTTTCCTTTTAAACAAAGCTGTTATTTCTTCAAACGAAGAACCATCCCAATATCCTCACACTTGTCCCAAAGTTATTGCTGAATGATGCTCTTTTAAAGTTGTTTTTTGTTTCATCAATTGTGATCATGCCTAAACGTGGAAGCAAGAAACGTTCTTCTCGAAAGAAAGCCAAGTTTAGCTACGAGTCCGCAGAGCCAGGAAACTGTAAGTGATACTTCGGCTTCAACTCGTGGAGACATCTTTGACATGTCTCATTTATTTGACAGCTTTGCTGTCATCATAGAACACATCTGAGTTAAAGATTGTGCGTGTTTGAAACATCCGTAATGAATTTGGAAAATGAATTTCGTTGTGTCAGTTGATTTCAAGTTTTTTTGCTCACAGTATTTCAAAAGAAACTGAGGGATAGACATAAAAATGATGACAATTAAAACATGCAGACGGGATTAAAACTGCCCACCTTTTTTGCTATTTACGTCAATGAAATATACACCAACATGTCATCTAAATTCACATAACCGGCAATTCCATAAAATATTAACAAGGCATCATCAAGGCAGCCAAGGTTACTCGACTGTTTTTAGCGTGTTTGAGAGCTTTCACTTTAGTCGTGGCCGGTCGTGGCCCCCAAAAGTGAATTTAAGTAAAGAAAAAGAGTTAGCAGAAGTGATATGGGTTTTTAAAAACCAAATGATAACACTCGTTACATTCTGAGAATGCAGTATTGGACGGATATGACGTTTAACTTGGCTGATGGTAAGGAGATTTTTTGGCATTTTCCGTTTTAATTGCTGTTAAGGATATACAATATCTTTCCAGTGACTTGTATATGGACTTGACATGCAAAAGTGAATTTGAAGACGAAGGAAGAAGTGATATTTTTTCAAATGATAACACTCGTTTTGGACGGATATGACGTTTCTTCGAAAAGATTTTTCGGCATTTTCCGTTTTAATTGCTGTTAAGGATATACAATATCTTTCCAGTGACTTGTATATGGACTTGACATGCTTGAAGACTTTTTTCACTTTTTTACTCTTCGAAAAGTGATTTGGCTTTCTGGTACCTTAATTATTCCAAAATTCGCCCATAATGAGTTCATATATATTCCATACTGCGAGCCTTTCCTACTGACAGCCGATTAAGATCAGCGAGTTTGTGAATAATATCACAATAATATTAACCTAGACAACATGATAAAATAACCCCAATAAAGATTTAGTTAACCCTTCAAGGCATCCTTTTTCAATGCTTTTTTCTGGGCCCCATTACTTTATATCACAGGTAGCCCAAGCTCGAAATATGAGCATCGGCGAGCATCGGCATCGTTGCGTAACATTCAAAATATCAGGATTTGTATGGGAAAAAAACCTATCGTTTCTGTGACCTACGAAAATGAAAGGATTTCAGTAAAAAACAGCTTACCTTACTTAAAATGTGTGTTAAGTCTCTCCTGTGTGGTCCACGGGCCGATTTATGGCCGTTTTATGGGTTTTTATGTAAACGGTTTTCTCTCTATATAAAGGTTTACCAAGGTGGATCAGTCGAGCCTCTTCGCTGGAGTGCCCAACCTTGGTAAACCTTTATATAGAGAGAAAACTGTTTACATAAAAACCCATAAAACGGCCATAAATCGGCCCGTGGACCACACAGGCGAGACGTAACACACATTGTAAGTAAGGTAAGCTGTTTTTTATTGAAATCCTTTCATTTTCGTAGGTTACAGAAACGATAGGTTTTTTTCCCATACAATTCCTTATATTTTGAATGTTACGCAACAATGTCGATGCTCGCCGATGCTCATATTTCGAGCTTGGGCTACCTGTGTTCATATTGGTTGGAGTGACCTCCTACGGGCAGATTCTACCTGTATTGCGTTATTAAATTCGGCTTAAACGCGCCTTAAAAGATTTTAAAAGACTTGTGACTACAGGGATTTTCTGGAGACTTAAATTACCATAGCGCATATTAGGAAGGGCTTATACTGAAAAGTTTACAGAAATATTTCTTCTTTACAAACAATAAAACATACCGAAATATAACTGATTATAGTTACAAAAGTGTGCTGCAGTTTAATAGTACAGTATCAGTAAGTGACTGTTATGACGTTCCAGTCCTTTTGTCTGTCCATTTAAAGTGACCGCAGGCCATATAATGAATAAGAAAAAGTGTACAGTATGAGAGGGTGAGAACTTTGAAAGGCCGAAACAAAAAATTAGCAATGAGGATTCTGCAAAAGTTCCGGTGTTTCCTACAGGCGAGGGGTCTGGGTCCCAATTTCAATTACAAACCAGGTGCCGCGAAACAGGAAATTTTTACGGTGAATGTTGTTCAACTTCTTCAATATGACGATGTTTTATTATGGATTAAGATTAATCGATTCGTAATATGGAAGATATCATGGTCTACTGCACCTCTTTATTGTTTAAAAATAGCCTCAAGGAAAGCGTAGTGTTGCATGCTAGTGAAGCATGATGCAGACTCGGGAGACTGATAGAGAACTAACTGCGTTCATATTCACACATGTATTAGCTCAGAAGAGATAAGATATCTCGAAGATGCAGTCTTCTACAATAAGAAAAAACAAAACTATCGTGTTCTTCATTAGCTGTTAAATCTAAAGTCATGGTTGGTTTCTCGTTCAGCCGGCAAGAACAGTTGTATGGTAAGATTACATTATAGCGATGGTGTAGGGGCTAACTCAAAGCCGGTTTTCAAGTTTCAATGCTCTTAATTTTTCTAGCAATGATGGGGAAAAAGGCTGACAGCCTAAAGGAGCTCAGTACGCCAGATGATTGGGAGTTAGTTGAAAGCATCGGCGAAGGAACGTATGGTGAAGTATACAAGGCAAGGAACAAGGTTACTGAAGAGATTGCCGCAGCGAAGGTCATCGATTCTATCCACGAGAAAATCGAAGAAGTTCTACCCGAGCTGGAGATTCTGAAAAGGTATTCTACGCATCCAAATTTAGCTGGTTTTCATGGAGCTTTCATCAATGTGGACACTAAACATGATCAGCTCTGGCTCGTTATGGAGGTGAGATATTAAAACTGATATCGTCTGTCCCTTACGCTTGCGATGATTTTTTTATCCATTTAATAGCGATTTTAACCTCTTTGGGTATGAAATAAACCCGCTAATGACAAAACAAATGTCCCGAACCCAACTGTTACAATTACAATGTAGTGTAGAATAAAAATAAGCTCTTAATTACCGAGAATCGTCAGTGTGTGTTAATTACTTAACTTTGATTGCAATTGCCTCAAGACGGTACATTTTTTAAGTTTACTTAACATTTCCTTGCCGACCTGAAAGTAAAATTTAACGTAACAAATCTCATATCATTCTTTGTTGGGAAAGTTCCAGCAAATTATTGAAAACTTACATAACGCTCCAGTTGACAAATCACACATTAAACGTGATTCCTATTTGCATTTAAAAACAGAACTGCCTTATTTTGCAAATAGTCTTTTTTTATTGGAGATATTTGTCATACCTATGCGTGAAACTTGTTAAATTAAGACAACAAAATTTGTGATAATTTTGCACTTTTATGGCAAATTTTATTAGTTAAAATCTATAATATACTGGTGGGATTAATATTCATGCAGTAACGAACAGGTGGTATTGGAATGCAGAAATATTGACTAATGAGGATAGGGTGGGTTAAGTTTTACAGGTCGTGGTCATTCGTGTTGAATGTAACACAGGGTAAGTGACATTCAAGGGTAACAGAAAATGCTGACAAGTAGATAATGTCAGGGAAAATAACCTCACTCCCTTCTCTAATTAACAAATACATATTCATAAAAAAATGAAAAATGTTTCTTTCTCCCCCTAGCCCTCATCCTTTTATGAGAGCTTCTGTTTGTAATAAACAGAGGAGCCTTAGATGCAGAAATGTACTGTAGCACAGGAATACCAACATTTGTAAAACTGTCTTTTTTTCTTATTAACTGTTTTGCTTAAGCTTTGTCGTGGTGGATCAGTAACCAATCTCGTGAAGAGCTTGAGAAAGAGAGGAAAATACCTTGATGAAGACCTTATTGCCTACATCCTTTATGAGACACTTAAGGTAGATACTGCAGAAGATTTCAATTTTTCAGTCTTTGACCCCAGCACTGGTTATGATTTTGATGAAAAGGAAAGACACAAAATGTTTATTGTTTTAAATTTTTTAGTTTCGTTTAAATGGTATTTCTGTGAGCTTCAAAATGTGTTCTCCTTACACGCGCATAGTTGAACATGTGAAAGAAAATCTGTTATGTTCTAGATAAATCTACACCATTTGGGACAGCAGTGTCAGTTTTACTTTTATAATCATAACCATGTCAAAGTCCAATAATAATTTTATCCTCGTTTGAAATTTTATTTCTGTTTGTTCCATATCATTGTCATAGACATACATCAATACACCCAAAAACAAAGAAAAATCATCTTTGAACCATGGAACCAGCATACATCATGTTTATTTTGTTTGATGTACTGTAGGGAATTGAGCATCTTCACAGGCACAATGTTATGCACAGAGACATAAAAGGTCCAAATGTCATGCTAACAAACACAGCAGAAATCAGATTAATTGATTTTGGTAAGTCGTCATGTGATCAAAGACTTCAAAGAGGTATAGGTATCTTGTTCAAACAGTGGACATTTTTTAAACTCATTAGGACAGTTTGAAGCACATTAATTTACCAAGAAAGGTAAACTGTGTTTTTTAATTTGATACTTTTGTATTATCAGTAATGTTATCTATTATTATTTTTTATTGTACAGTTGTTAAAAATATTAATATTACCATAATCAATTTTGCTCTAAAAGCATAGTGCATAATCCATCAAATGTTGCAAATCTTTGTGCTGAATTTCATTTGGTTGTAACATTGTTATTAATTTGATTAAGGTACAAAGTGTAAGTTATATTTAGTTTAGGTACGCATTGTTGGCCGGTGCATTACGGTCATTCATTATCTGTCTGTGAGCCAGTTGTCAATTATTCAGGCAGTCACTCCAACATTTGTTTAGTCTTTAAAAGAAACTAAAAAAAATACTACAGCCATAAAGAAATGGCAAAATAAATACAGTTTTATATTTATAGATTTAAGTAACAAGTTTAAACAATCCTTATATATTAAATAATTTCTTAATCTTTTCTTTGATATTAGGTGTTTCAGCAGAGTTGTCAAACATCTTAATGCGACGTAACTCATCAGTGGGAACACCATTCTGGATGGCTCCAGAAGTCATTGCCTGTGAACAGCAGCTAGACTACAGTTATGATATTCGTTGCGACATTTGGTCCCTGGGTATAACTGCAATTGAACTTGCTGATGGTGCCACACCGCTTTCAGATCAACATCCAATGAGAGCTCTATTTAAAATTCCCAGGTCAGACTTCATTCCTGTGTATTTTGGACAAAGATATGTTTCATCAGTCTTGCTTGCCTATTCAGTTCCCATTAAGGAGGTCCAGTGTCACACTAAATTTTTTTTTCTTTTACATTGTTATTACATAGTTATCTCATAGTTTAAATACCGCTTAATGTTAGTCCTCCACCAGTTCATTCATTCGTCCATCTGTCCATCCATCTGTTCATCCATCCATCTGGTCACAAGTTCATATCTTACGGTATTTCATTACACATTTAATTGCAATGAGACAATTTAAGAGAGATCAACGGCTACGCAGCAGTGAAGTGGGAATCTAATGATCAAAGTACCAAAGAATTAAAAGAATATCTAACAAGAACAAATGCATAATTATAATTTCAGGAGCAAGCCTCCCTCCATGAAGAATCCAGAAAGGTGGTCTCATGAATACAGAGATTTTATTGCTAAGTGAGTAATAATATTGTATTATTGTATTTCCTTTATATCTTCAAACGATACATGTACATTCCAATAGTGGCATTGCACAATTTTAGAAGCCCCTTTATGGGAAAGCAAACAAAGTTTTCTTTTTCTGCACTTAAGATAGACTTAAGTATCTTTTGGAATATACTTGTTTTTTTAGGTGCCTCGTCAAAGATTTTGAGACACGACCACATGCAAGTGAAATGTTGAAGCATATGTTTGTATGTTGGGTGACATCAAAAAGAGAAACTGTAAGTCATTGTTTTTTTATTATTTTTGTTTTTGTACTTATAAAAGACTATCAGCCAGCAACAATTCATAGAAAACTGCAGTTATAATGATTATCTTAATAATTATTATAAATATGATAAAAAAATTATGTTATATAAATATAAATATTATTATTAATAATAATTACAGTGATGAGGATTATGATCATGATCCCTTATGGCATTTTCAGTTACTAGACGGTCCATGACTAACAAATAAATAGTTTACCTCTCACTAATAACACTCTCATGTCACTATCATCCGAGATGGGGTCAAAAGAAGGTCTCCCAAGTTTTTCATGAAATGTTAACAGATTGGGTGGTCTTCACTGTTTAGAGATAAGTATCATGGACATGATTAATCTCTGACCAAATCTAGGTTCTTTGTGAATGTCTTCTGTCAAAAATATGAGTGGTATTTTTCATCAATTTTGAATGAAACGTCATTGTCTTGGTGAAAATAGAAAATCATTGTTATTGAATCTCTAACAAAATATTTGCAAGCATAGGAGAATAATTTAATGTATATAGACATTACTTTGAAGGTGTTACAAACTACATAATGGGGTGGCAAGAAGAAAGCAAAACCACTTGCAACTATTGCCATCTATGTTGTGGAAAGTTTTTGTTGGTGAATCATGTTTGTAGTGGCTGGCAACACTTTATCCATAATCAATATCTGTGGAAGATTGTAAAATAATGGTCATACAAAGAAATGATTTATATCACACATTCAACCTTGAATAAAGGTTGCATGACGTGTAATGTAAATTAATTGACAAAAAATGTTGCAGCTTCGCCGAAAGTTGATGACATTAATGGAACTTCAGTATGAAGGAAGAGACGGTATCATGGATGAAGCTAGTAGGGAGAAGGACGACAAAATCCTGAGGTTGGTGTAATATAAATAATGCTGTTAAACTTATTAATTATTAACAATAAATGACTACCCTTCAAAAATACTTTTTAAAATGAGTGCTTAAAGCTTGAATTTATTTGTTTTGCACCTTTGACAATTTATAATTATATTTTCCAGTATTTTTGTTGAGCTGTTTATATAGTCTCAGATGTTTACTCACACTTGACTATCATGATGTTTAAGAATAATTGTGTGAATGAAAGTTTGATTGAAAGTGTCATATGACCAGTGACATAATTTATACAATCATATAAAATACTCTTTATCATTGTTGGTCGTTAAATTATTTTTATGGATAGCAAATTCTTGAAAATCATTTTTTTGTAAAAATAGAATAAATAACTGCAATCAAATGCTTTAAAATCCACACTCTATGCTTAAGCAAGTTCTATTTTAGCATAGTACATAATGTATAACTTTACATGTATTATATACAAAGTTTGCTTTTTCATTATTTTGAGCAAAAGAGGCTTTTTTCCTAAATAAAATAAAGAAAGAAATAACACAGAAACACAGAATTCCAAAAAATCTTATTGTGAAAATTAACTAAATCATCTTACTAATTTTTGTCTTTTATTGCCGAGCATTTCCCCTTTGTATGTGCTCTTTGTAGTAAATTCCAGCAAAGTAAGATCAAGGTTACTCTTTGAAATTTTTGCATGAAAATGTTAATTTATGTACAAAAATAATTGCTGAGATTTTGTGTTTGTGTATGTGAATCAAAATATTAAGATAATAAATGTTAACTATCTTTCATTTTTTTGTAGTCCTTTGCATGTGCCAAGCAAGAATCCACTGCGCAACGATCAAATGCATCATGTAGACAACTTAGCAGAGCTTGGAAGCCTTACAGAGGTATGTTGGTAAACGGTACCTTGTTTGAGTGAAATTAATCCATATTTGGGAGAAATGTTACTTATAATATAGGGTCCACTGGGTCTTGAAATGTCCCAGAATTTTATAGCATGAATCTTTCAAAATGCTTCCACCCTGCAAATCTTATGAAACTATTTCCTTTGGGTTTGAATTGGCCAGCGCATACAAAACTTTAAAGCGGTGCAGTTGATAACCATGAGTGATGATTGTCTTTTCTATGACACAGGATATTATACTGAGTCATCTCCTGGAAAGATATCTTGCTAACCAAATCTACACCTACATTGGTGACATTTTAATTGCCATTAATCCACTGAAAACATTGAACTTGTATGGCCCAGAGGTGAGTTTGCATGCAGTTATCAAGATGCAAAACGTTACAGAATGCTGCCACAAATTGCTACACAGAATTTCTTCCTTGTATTACTTACATGTATATTAGAGATGTAATGTGAGTCTGAGTTCTCCTTGTTCAATGCTGTTGCTGAGGCTTGTCAGTGCAAAGGTCATAGTGACTTTTATAATTTTTATGACAAACTTGTTAACTCAGGGGTTTCAGCCTAAGAAAGGACAGAAACGTTGTAGGCCGCAAAAGTCCCTAAATTTTCAACATGAACAATATCTTCAGTTGCACTTTTGTGGACCAACCACATTAACCTAAGCACTGGGCTTCCAAACAGAGTTATATTCTCCTTATACCAAAAATAATATTAAAATAGATAGTTATGGTTTCTATCTCATCATCACCCAGGTCTTTTTTTCTCCTTTCTAAAGCATGCAAACAGATACAAAAATTCTCAAAAGAGTTCTTTACCACCTCACATTTACATGATAGCAGACATGACACATCAGGCGATGGTACACAACAAAAACCCACAGGTAAGGAAATAACATGTAAGAAATTAGGAGGAAAATGTGGCATTTTTAACATTTTGAGCTGTGGTAGGCTGTGAACAGACTTCCTTTTTGGAGTATAGGTTGGAGAAAAAGCAAGAGATTATTGAAGAGTAAGCCAAACGTCATCTTTGGGAGAGGCTCTGTCTGTCACTGATTTGTAACATTATATGTAACTCATCTTCTTGTGTCTACCTCAGCTCGCACCTGCATGTACACTATTGGGGCTCAAAACATTGTAATATTACATTGATTGATATGAATAAAGTTGCTGTTGCACACTGTGTTTATAAACATAGCATAATTTATAGTTTACATTTGAACCATTTTATCCAGTGTAGTGTTATTTGCATTGGCTTTCAAAATTAGCATATTTTCATTCCTTTTTCATTGGAATTAATTTAAAAAGATTTGAACTGTTTTGCCTGAGAAAATAGAGCCGACATTAAGTTGTTCCTTTTCAGTGCTGCCTCATTAGTGGAGAGAGTGGAGCTGGAAAAACAGTATCTGCAGACTACCTAGTGCGGCATTTGGCTGAACTAGGAAAGGTACAGTGTACTGATGCATGCTTGTGTAACAAATAATTTTCTTTTGTCATCAAAGCATGGCAGTTTGGTATTCTGATCTCTAGGTAAAGTTAGTGTCACTCTAAACAATGTTTTGTGTTCATATTGGTGTTAATTAGCTCTTTGGATTGACAACATTAATTGCACATTCATCTTTTATCCTGACATATAACAAATTGCTATTATATTTTCTTTTATAACAGGCTGGAAACAGAACATTGGAGGAAAAAATATTACAGGTGGGCAAAAAGATTTAGCAAGTGATATGTTTTTTTATTGCATTTTTTTCTGGCTTGTTTGACTCTGTTGTGTCCATTCAGATATCATGAAAAAGATCTCTTCCCCCTTCCTAAGCTAAAGTTTGGAGTACAATTCAGAGTGTCATAGGAAGGTACTGTTACTCTGAAAGGAACTGTGATTTGGGACTCTTTGATTGACAGGTGAACCCCTTAATGGAAGCTTTGGGAAATGCACAGACTATAATCAATGAGAACTCCAGCAGATTTGGCAAATACTTGGAACTCCATTTTACACCAAATGGTGCCCTCACTGGAGGTAAGGAGAGAACCTTGTTACATAATCAATGTTTTTGTCCCAATTTTTGTAGCCTTAGGTTCCACACTTAGTCAATCTTACATGTAAAATAAACAAAGGATAGTCAAAATACCGCAAGTGAAGCTATTAACTGTCAGTATGCTGTTACATTTGAAATGTACTTGTCAGCTAATCTTAGTTTGATATTTTTAAGGGATGCTTTCAGAATATTTGTTGGAGAAATCCAGAGTTGTTTCACAATCACAGTAAGTTTATATTTTATGTTTTGAATAAACAGTAAATAATGTTATGATAAGTTAGAGTTAAAAAACTCATCTTACATGTCATCTCTATAATAACTGCATGTATAGATACTGGTGAGTAAGAAGATATTTTTTTTGGTTACCATTATGGCTATTACAATTTGTTAGTGCGTGGTCACTTGTTTGACAATTTTAAAGATTGTTTTTGTCGCTTGTCATTTCTAAGTTAAATAAATAGATAAATAAAGAAATGATAATTAAACTGTAGTGTTTCTGCCTGGTTTTTGTATCTGTAGGGGAGAAAGAAATTTCCATATATTTTATTACATGATTGCTGGACTGGCTTACAACAAGAAACTGGAGAAATATTCATTCAAGCTCTATGCACAGCACAAGTAAGTATGATTACATTTGTATATGACAAAATCAGTTAAAGCCAAAGGTTCTTATATACACTGTATATTCTTTCTTTATTGTAAGAATGCTTCATGCTCAGGAACGTAATACTACACATACTTCTGTGTTCTGGTTACAAGAAACAGTAGTGTTATAACTGAGTAAACAAGTTTCTTTTGCAGAAAGCATGTGCTTAAAATTAATTGTTTGATCTGTTTTCTGACATAAAGCAATGTTGTAAAGCAGTTTCATTCATTTTTCTATCTCATTACTTGTTACCTTTAGTTACCTTCAGTCAGGAGGCAAGACTCTACAGGATATGGTTTGTACCCTGGGTAACAGACGTAAGTTTGAGGAAGTTCAAAGATGTCTTGATGTTATTGGTTTCAGTCATGAGGTAACTGAAACTATGTTAAGTGTAACAATGTTAAGGCACACTATGATCTTAACTGTGCAATAGAACCTCAATAACTCGAACTTGGATAACGCGAAATCCCCGCTAACTTGAACTAAATTTCCTTTCCCTTGATCACAATATTTTCACTGAAATTTACCCCGATTACCCGAATTCCTCACTACCTCTAACTGTTTTTTTCCTTCAGAGTTCGAGTTACCGGGGTTCTACTGTATTTAATAAACAAAATGAGTTTTAGAGTGGATGAGAGCCTGGGAATACGGCTGCCACTCATCACTCCTTGTT